ATAGTCAAATAAAATCCAATCAAGCCATGGCACTAGCCTTTAAAAAGGCCCACGGGTCCATAGTTGAGACAGTCGACGGAGCGCCACCACTGAAGAAACTTCGCCTCCAAACACTAACCGCCAAAGCCAAGCCGGTGGAAAGGAAACTGCAGGTGCTGGCACAACTCGATCCGTATTTGGGAGCAGCCACTGTGGTAGCAGGCGCCGGTGCAGTGGGTGGAGCAAAGATAACACCAGCAGCGGTGCCCCTAGCAGTACCCCTGCCAATGGGTAATACAGGTACGACAGCAACAAGTGGCTCTGCCAGCACCGGCACCGGCACCGCCAACATTAGTCCAAGCAGCACCAAGGAGCTGCTGGAAGTGCTCGTCAAGATCACGGATGAGATCTGCTACGAAGATGTGGATATGGTGGAACTGAAGGAGGCCTCCGCGAAGATATATCAACTGTTCCAGCTGCAGGATCGGGATAGCGACACTTCGGTGCGGGTGAAGCTGCTGGAGCTGCTGTCCGGCCTCGGCTGCGAGTGCACCACGGAGGCTGGTGTGATTCTCATCATAGACCATCTGATCTACTTGCTGCGCAAGGAGACCTCGCAGAAGGTACTTGCCCAGGGCATGATGTGCCTCTACCGGATCGGCGATCGCAGGCGTCACCTCGTCCCGATGGCCTACAACACACAGGTGGCCCATCTGGCCAGAGAGGCGCTGCGCTCCGGCTCCACGCACACGCAGAAGAACGCGATGCTGGTGATCGGACGATTCGCCACGCGAATGGAGGGCGAGCGGCACTACGCGTGGAAGCTGGCCTTCTACATCGACTCACAGGATTCGGGGGTGCGGGCGCAGGCTCTGCATGCTCTGCTGACGCTCGGCGAGCGTGGATCCAACCTGCCAGCGGTGCTCTACAAGCGGGCCGTGGATGCCATGAAGGACGACTACGAGTGTGTGCGCAAGGAGGCCTTGCGACTGGTGTACATGCTGGGCAACAGCCATCCGGACTTCATTATCGCCTCGGAGCGGCAGCAGGAGGACATCCGCATGATCGATGCCGCATTCAGCAAGGTGTGCGAGGCGCTCTGCGATCTCTCGCTGCAGATACGAGTGTTGGCCGCCGAACTTTTGGGTGGCATGACCCACGTCAGTCGCGAGTTCCTCCATCAGACGCTCGACAAGAAGCTGATGAGCAACCTGCGCAGGAAGCGCACGGCCCACGAGCGCGGTGCTCGTCTGGTGGCCAGCGGCGAGTGGTCGTCGGGCAAGCGCTGGGCGGACGATGCACCCCAAGAGCGTCTGGATGCCCGCAGCATATCGATAATCGCCAGTGGAGCCTGCGGGGCCCTCATCCACGGTCTGGAGGATGAGTTTCTGGAGGTGAGAACGGCTGCTGTCAGCTCCATGTGCAAGCTGGCACTCTCACGGTCGGACTTTGCTCTCACCAGCCTGGACTTCCTGGTGGACATGTTCAACGACGAGATCGAGGATGTCCGTCTGAAGGCCATCTACAGCCTGACGGCCATCGCTCGCCACATAGTGCTGCGGGAGGATCAGCTGGAGACAATGCTGAGCTCGCTGGAGGACTACTCGGTGGATGTGCGGGAGGGGCTGCATCTGATGCTGGGCGCCTGCCGCGTCTCCACGCAAACCTGCCTGCTGATGGTCGTCCAGAAGCTGCTCGATGTGCTGGCCAAGTATCCGCAGGATCGACATTCCACCTACGCCTGCATGCGAAAGATTGGACAGAAGCATCCGCATCTCGTCATGGCCGTGGCCGTTCACCTGCTCTACGTGCATCCGTTCTTCGAGACGCCCGAGCGAGACGTGGAGGATCCCACCTACCTGTGTGTCCTCATTCTCGTCTTCAATGCCGCCGAGCATCTGATGCCCATCATCAGCCTCCTGCCGACGGCCACCCACCGCCACTATGCGTACTTGAGGGACAGCATGCCGCGCCTGGTGCCCCAGCTGCCCATCGAGGGCGCATCCTCCTCGTGCACAAATCATCGGATCGACGATGCCGTCAAGGAGGCAGGCAGCTCCGCCGGCTACCTCAAAATGATTCTCAGCCACATTGACGAGATCGTCACCATGTCCGACGGTCGCGTGGAGTTGCTCAAAACCGCCCAGTCCAATCTGCAGGTAAGTTCTGCTGCAAATCCCCCACTGCAACCGATTAATGGTAATAAATCTTCTCTGCAGCGCCTTGGGGACATCGACTCGGGTCTGTATGGGACGTCGAACTTTCTGGAGACTTTCCTCTCCGCTCAGATTCAAATTGAGCAAATGCAGCGCTGCGCCAAGGCGCACAGAAGTCGCGTACCGCTGAAGGAATCGCTGGCCGCCCTCATCACCAAGTGTCTTAAGCTGCAGCACACGTTCTCGGGGCTGAGCTACTGGGACATACTGCAGGTGAAGCAGCTGAGGCTGCGTGCCAGCGCCCTGCATCTGGTCTTGGTCGTGAAGGATCGCTCGCAGAGTGCCCTGGGGCCCTGTCAGATGCTGCTGCAGACGGCAGGCGACATCAGTGAGTACATAAAGGCCAACACGAAGGAGGAGGAGCAGCAGCTGGCGATCCCAAGCATTGCCACTGGCGACGAAGAGGAGGATAAGTCCATTAAAGCGTCGACGAACAACGCCCAGCCGGACTGTTTTACACGACAGCTGCTGTCCAAGCTGGACGCGATCACGGACCCAAGGCCGGGTCGAGTATTCCGCGAGATTCTGCCCCTGGTGCAGAATGCACCGCCCTTGGCTCTGCCGCCCGCCAATGAAAAGATTCGTCGCTGCATGGCCAGCATTATCGAGCCGTGCCCGCTGCAGTCGCAGGATAATGTGATCAAGGTGACTGCTGGCCTGATTGCGGCCGTTCCGTTTGTGGCGGAGATCGACAACCTGCAGGAGTCGCAGAAGGCGGACATGCGCATCAAGATCAAGTACCCAGACCAGCACATGCACACGGTGGTGCCCAAAATGACAGACTTCAAGCCCATCATGACCGAGCAGGGGGAGCACGAGACAAATGTGCGCCTGCGAACGACGATCCTGCTGTCGCACAGTGTCTGGACGGAGGCCTCCCTCGTGGAGATTCAGCTCTGCCTGGCCGTGCGCCCCGGCAGCGAGCTGGCGCTCTGCAAGCCGGCAAAGGTCTTGTTTGCCCCCAAGCCGGTGCGGCGAGGCATTTAGCGGGAGAATGGCGATAATGCCAAAGAATCCGTAAAGGCTAGAAGAAGGCAGCACAGAAAGCAGACAGCGAGCGGACAAAGCCACGAAGCTGCTCATGGACAAACAAACAATGTAGTTGTTGGCGATGTAACATTGTAAATTATTCAATAACAAAACCATTTTTCATTTGCTTCTCATCAAATCCCCCCCTCCAAACTCTATAACTATTTTACGCCTAAATGTATATGATGATTGATTTAAAGAAAGCCGAAAATCAAATTCGAGGAATGTCCCAGTTGGCCACTAGGAGTAGAAAATGATTGGGGAGTATATACATATACGAATAAAAGAAATGAAATAGAATCAAAGAAATCAAAGTTCCTTAGCAAAAGACAGGCGTAATTCCAACGTATAAATCGGATTATATCTCCGATTGTGTTGTAAAGATAGAAGAAGTGGCCCCCAAACCACTCCGAACCTATAATTTTTATATTATATTTTTTCAAATGCGCTATTTTTCAAGTTCTTTATCAGTTCTCTGATTCATCTGTAAGGTAGTCTTTTCGAAGGCTGAGGTAGCTCAGCCTCTCCAGGGCCGGGACCTGGAATCTCGGGAATCTCGGGACCCGAGATTGTGGAAATGGAGACGCCGTGTGTGGAAAGGTGGGCGTATGGGGCGGAAAGGGAACCTGATTGACACCGTCACACGATATCAGTTAACATGGTTCATACAAATGTAGTTTACCAACATTAATCTATTTTATTTCAATAGGGTTTGCTGCCGTGCCGGTCCAGACAACAGACCCAGCCGCCAAATGCTTCGTCTGGTCACCGGTCAAGGAACTTCAGGTATTGTGACAAAGAGTTTGGAGTTTGTTAAGTTGTCGTCGGCGAGTCAGCTGGTTCTGGCTCTGTCAGTGTGCCGCCACTGTGATAGTGCAGTTCAGTACTCTGAGCAGCAAGCGCTTTCCTAATTTTGTTCAATTTGTTGTTCAAAGATACTGTTCTCGTACTTGGCCAGCAGGTTGATACATTTGCCAAGACGATGCATTGGCTCCCAGGTGTTGCTTTCTTCTCCGTAGCCCTCCCATTTGACGAAATACTGCGTTTCTTCTTTTTCTTCACAGAAACGTTTTCCCTTGATCTCCTCCACAATGTATTCATTTGCAGCCAACTGAGTGGTTCTGGACGCCCTTGTTCTGGTACCTTTCATTTTGTCAAAACAAATAATATTTTCACGATTTTCTGAACTTCAATGGACTTCGATATATTTAAATCTATCACAATCTCTACATTTACATACTAAAGACAAATATCAAAATAATAGATAAAAATACTGAAAAATCCAACCTAAAATGCTAAAGAACAATCACACTTAAATTAAAGTGAATGCCAAAAAATGCTTACATTTATATGGCCAAAAAACCATAATGGTAGACAAGGGCGCTGGGGAGCTCCTCTTCATTTTCATATGCCTTTAATTAGATGTATCTTTAATCTTAAATAGAAATTGAATACTTCAAATATAATGTTAAATATTTGGCTATTCTGCTTGGTATGTTATTGGTATGTATAAAATGTATAGTAGTAATGTCATAAGGTTGTAAGGTAAGCAATCCAATAAAAATAAGTATTTAAAATAAGCCAAATTGAGTCTTCAATCAGATTAATGATTTTTTCAGTGTTAAAAGTCTTTTCAAGCTAGTAATATCAAGTCTAACATCAGAATCGAGGAATATGATTTCAGACTACGGTATATTTGCGGTATATTTTGAAAATGCCAGGTGTATATCGGAATATTTGCGAGGGTCTGCCGGTATATTTGATCAATAAATCCGCGGTCACACTGGCGTGAAAAGCAAAAATCAAATTGAAAGCGAAATTGCACATTTTAAAATTGCAGCAGGCTGTTGTGTCCCCGTCGACGTCGGGTTGTCTGCTTGTGTGTAAAGTGAAATAAAAGTTTATTGAAATTCATAGTTGATAGATTTGTAGCAATCGCAACTTAGTACGGTATGTGTTTATTTGCGTGCTTGTGTGTGTGTGATGTGTTGCTTAATTTTGTCAGCTGCCCGATTGTCTCTTTATCACACACATGTATGTACCATATGTACGTGACTGCATGTGTGTGAGTGTGTGTAGGAAACTCGCTTCGGGATCAGGTTCGGGAACGAACCCCAACCCAACCCTGCGCGGTACCATAGTGACTAAAAAAAAATCAAGAGAGCTGAGAGTTTACTACAATAAAGCGTAACAAAACAAAAGATTACTAAAAAAATGAATATTATAAATAAACAAGAAATAATATACATATAAGGAGGACCCGATGCCTCGTGTGTTGTCTCTTTTTTGTTGTGTTTTTTTTCGTCATGCGCGCTCTCTTTCTCGCCCACCCTCTCGTTATCTCTCGCTCGCACACTTACACTTACGGTTCGTGGCAATACCTCGCGTGCGTTTTGGTTTTGTTTTGCTGCCAAAACTAATGCAAAAACAAAAACAACAACAAATTGGATACAGAAGAGGCGAAAAAGTCTGCCAAGCAACAGTTGCAAACTGCGACTTGCATTTCCCTGTGGTCCGCGACGACGCGACGAAAAGCGTAGAACTGAACGGAACAAAAAATTCTGCTTCCAAATACAATACTCGCCCTAGCAGGCGAGGCTACGGAAGGCAAGGCAAGGTGAGGCGACGAGTTGCCTTCATTTTTGCGAGCACGCATTGTTTTCCACACACAATAATTCCAAATTCGCAGTCCCCGCAACATTCGCCTCGCCTCTCCTCTCCTTGGAATTCCTCTTACTTCCTGATCCTAGGAATACGAGAGTAAACAACAATTACTATGCATGTGCATACATACATATGTATATAAGTGCGACAAAGTGTGCCCAGTGTGTTTTGTACGGATATTGATTCAAACCAAATCCTTTGGGAATCAAGAGTATTGCGTGAAACTTCGCTATAAATTAAAGTGTTTTTTTTTCTCGTCTTGATTCAGCTTTTGATATCTAAATTTTCGAGTTAACACGATTACGACAGTGTACTTCTTCAGCACGGCATAGATGCCCCTCCGCTAAACCTTCATTCGAATTGGTTAAAATGCAGCCCCAATAAGCAAACCACGACGACAAACGGTTGCAATAAAGGCGTTAGGTACGAAGGACAAGCCACCCGTCACCCAGGCTTTAATCACAGCTGAGAGCCAGAAAGAGACAGCGAAGAGAACCAAGAAACTGAAAAGCTCTGAAAGCACACATACCAACAAAACCAAAAGCATTCAAACTGTATGCAGTGCCTGCAGGCACAAGTCCCGTACACCAGCGCAACGAGCATAGAGCAACGAACATCGAAAACATCGCATAGGGCATTGAGCATCGGGAGCGAAATAACATACACACATACACACTGACACTGGGAGGAAGAAAATGGATCTTTTCGATATGGACGACGTTGTAGTGGGCCCCCCGGACGAGTGCAGTACCCCGCTGAAGGAGTGGCGGCTGAAACTTCAGGCTGGCACACTGACACGCAACGACTTCATCGAGTTCTTCAAAAGGGAGTCGCCCAAGTACTTTGACTATCAGAACGAACTAGATACAGGTAAGGCAACTACGTAGAGTTCATCAGCTGTGACATTTATTGTCATTGAAAATTTAAGCAAACGCATTTCCGTCATTTTCTTACCATCCGCTCCCCAGACTCTCTGCATAGCAACAAATGATATTATTTGCGTTTTGCTCATAAAGCTGCTTCTTGAGCTCGTTCAGGGGGGATCCAGGATCGGTAGCCATAGCAACTATTTTAACCTTATTTATGTAGAATCATTAAGAAGGCAAGGCTTACCAAGTCAGGGCTTTCTTTCATGTAGAGTAAAAAACCCGACCTGACCAGACCAGAACATAACACGCAGAGATTACGATGACGTTGTTGCGAGGACAGACTTTGGGCCACGGTTGTTGTGACGACGATGCCTGATAAAACAGATTGCGAAATATATGCATGCAATATGTACATATGTATGTATGAAGATTCGGTTTATTCAACTCGCTTTTATCTGGTCCTTGTCCAGATTAGAACAGACCCAGTCACAGCCTCAGGTCCCAGGTCCAGTTGCAGCCCCCAGGTCCCCAGTTCTCTGTAACTTTCTTCATACCTGGATTACTAATTCCTGTGTTTATTTGTGGAGCCCAATACACGGTTGATTCAATTAGACATACATACATACATATGTACATATGTTATTTCTTGTGTGCATTCATTCTTCTTTCTTCTTCGTTTCGTTCGTAAGACAGGTATATAAGTCCATACATATGTATTGTATATGATGATTTATACATGTATGGGATCGATCGCCCACTGCCATTGCGGAGTCATTTGTGTTTTTAATATGTAGATACATATGTATGTATGTATGTACATATAAAGTAATCATTTCTGTTTCTGATTAATTTTGTTTACATTTGAGTATTTGGGTGTTCCTTGGCCCCTCTTCTTCAGCTCTTCTGTTCGCTTGCAAATGTCAAAATCTCAACCAGAGACCTTACTCATTTAACCCCGAAATAAGGTGGGTGACATCTCCTGGCTATTCGGCGGAGTAGGCCGTACATTTCCGTGAGAGTCTGAAATATGGCATTGACGGAACACTGTGGCGCCGCCTCCTCTCTTATGATCTTTTCCGTTGCGTTCCATTCCGTTCAATGCAGTTCATTTCATTTCCGTGCTGTTCGATTCTTCTCTGTTCTGTTCTAGGCTCTCCCCCCACCCGTTCCGTTCTTTGTTCCAGTCTACTACGTCTCAGCAGCAGCAGCAGCAGCAGCACACTGTTGCACACGCAGTTATGTACATACATACATACATATTTCGGTTTTTTAGAGGGTAATAATTTGCATGCACTATGCGGGGGTGGAAGAAAATATTACCTATAGATATACATATGCAGTATGTATGTACATATGTGCAGTGAAGACTTTTTATTTGTTATTTTCGTTGAAAGCCCGAGAAACGTTGCGACGTCAGGTACTCAGATGAGTTGTAGATTGTGGAAAAAGTTCTCACTTTTGCTTATCGCCCCCCAAAAACAAAACATACACAAAAACAGCTAACGGTACACTGATTCGTGTACACTCACACTTGCACCCTCTCTCTCCCTCAATCTACTTGTCTCGCTCTTTACGATGCAGAGTTCATATGCATATGTATGTAAATATTTACTTGCATGTATAGCATATGTCGGCGCGACCTTGAACTGTATTTTTTTTTTGTATTTGACGATTTGTGGGTTTTGATTTCAATTCGTAAAACTCGTTCCAATGGAAGGTTTCTCTTCGCCACCAGCAGTCTCCAGTTCTCTTGCGGTCGCAACATCATCATCATCATCATTATCATAATCACGAGATTGTCATGATATATCTTCATGCTGTTTAACCTGTTTCTAATAACCAACCTAAGTGATATTTTAGACAGACAATGATGATGTACACACATACATATGTATATACTTATGTACATACATATGTATGTTCTATGAATAAAATGAGTAGCATTACCTGTAGCTGCACAATGACTAAATAAACGACGATGCCTCATACAGAACGAGCGTGTAGCACCCTCGTCCCTCAATCTCCCACATAGTAGTAGTAACTAGACCTAGATTATGTAATAACCGAAGTAACTGTCATACAACCTTCTTAATTAACTGCTATAATTTTTTCCGTTTTTTTTTGCAGTCAAATGTATGTTCAAGGAGGCCCTGGCTAAGGAGGAGATCATCGATGTTCTGGTCGAGTTCATGCTTGGTGACAACCCAAAATCGGCGCTTGAGAAGCTGCGCCTCGAGGGCAACACCGCCACAGTTTGCGGCAAGGTCTTCAAGAATGGAGAGCCCACGTACAGTTGCCGTGAGTGTGGCATGGATCCCACCTGTGTGCTGTGCGTGAACTGCTTTAAGCGGTCAGCGCATCGCTTTCACAAGTACAAAATGTCCACCTCTGGGGGCGGTGGCTGCTGCGACTGTGGGGACAATGAGGCATGGAAGAAGGATCACTATTGTCATCTGCATTTGGTGAGTGGAGAGTGAAAAGGAGAAAGGCAATCCCTAATACATTATTATCATCCTCCCTTCTGTTGCAGGATAATCGCAAAAATCCGCTCGAGAGCAAGATCATCACTGAGGCCGTGCTGGAGCGCAGCGAGATCTGCTTCAGTGCCATTTTGTCGTTTTGCGTCAACTATCTGGAGATCGAGCCGAACGCCAGTCTGCAGTGCCTGGACGGGGAGGACATGGGCCTAGGGCTCGATGGGGCGAACTACTGCACGGTGCTGTACAACGATGAGTCGCACACGTTCGACCAGGTTATCCAGACGCTAACAAAGATTGCCAAATGCCGCCAGAAGGAGGCCATGGAGATAGTGGCGGCCATAGATCGCGAGGGCCGGGCCGTGGTCAAGTGTGACACGTTCAAGAGCTGCAACGACCTGAAGACGGCCATAGAGAACCAGATGATACCGGCGACCGGACTGCTGGCCAATCCCCGAAACAGAGAGTCGCTGCGGACCTCCGTGTTGCACATCAATTCGGTGGCCTGCCAGCAGTTTGCCCTGCAGCTGCTGAGTTGGTTCCAGGAGTTCCTCGTCCGTCACTACCTCTTCCGCAAGATCTTCTCCGAGCTGGTGCAGCGCAAGCAAGAGTCCTTCTGCATCCGCCACATCCTCGAATACGACGTGAAGCTGTGGAAGACGGCGCGCACCTGCTGGCACCGCCTCCTCATCTCGGGCATGCTCATGGAGTACGACAACAAGATGGTGCTCGCCCAGGAGTTCTCGCGCCGTTACGCGACCATCGTGGAGGACTTCATCAAAGACGATCACGACCACGCCTTCTCGATTGTCTCACTCAGCGTGCAGCTGTTCACGGTGCCCAGCATTGCCCATCGCCTCATCGCCATGGAGGGCATCTTCGACAAGCTGCTGCACACCTTCTACTACGTGGCCATCGAGAAGTTTATCCTCAACCGCACCCTACACTTCAGCAAGAACATCGCCAGCCTGACCTTCTTCAAGCGCGCCAACTACATCCTCTACGACCTGCGCTATCTGCTCAGCCTCAAGCCGGATGTACTCAGCAGCGAGCTGCGCACAGGGTTCCTCGAGGGCTGCAAGGCTCTGATGCGTGTCCTCAATGTGATGCAGGGCATGGAGTCGATTACCCGTCAAACGGGGCAGCACATGGACTACGAACCGGAGTGGGAGTGCGCCTTCAATTTGCACATCAAGCTGGCCACCACCATTTCGCAGGTGATTGAGTGGGCGTCCACCGACAAGATGCTCCTGCACAAGCTCTACAAGATGACGGTCCGATCGCTGGTCAGCAACAACTTCATTGTCGGAGCAGCTGGCGGCGATGAGGTGGAGGCCCGTAGTGTGGCTGGGCATGTGGCCAGCTGCCTCGTCTACGATGTCTTGGTGCGGCCTGTGTCGATTCATTTACCATTGACTCGCTTCTATGCCGGAATCTATCTGCATCTGGAGGCCCATGGCCTGAGCTACGACTCCCTGGTGGCCGAGACCGAGGTGCTGAACATCAAGCTGACGCCGCGCGAGATCATCGAGCCGGTGCTGTGCACCCACGCGATGATTGCCCAGGTGGCCGCCGGCATGTGGCGCCGCAACGGCTACTCGCTGCTCCACCAGCTGTACTTCTACAGAAACGTGCGCTGCCGCGTGGAGATGCTGGACAGGGACATTGTTTGCCTGCAGATCGGAGCCTCGCTGATGGAGAGCAACGAGTTCCTCATCCACGCCCTGAATAAGTTCAATCTGATCGGCTGGGCCCAGCCCAACTATGAGACACTGCTGGCCGAGTCCTCCGTAGACGAGGAGTTCATGCGGCAGCTGTCGATGATTGACGAGTTCCTCGAGCTGCTCATTGTCATCATTGGGGAGCGCTGGATGCCCGGAGTGTCGCTCGTCAGCGAGGAGGATCGATTGCGCAAGGAGATCATTCAGCTGCTGTGCATCAAGTCGTACTCCCACTCGGAGCTGAGTCGCGCCCTGCCCGACACCACGGGCGGCAACAGCGACAGCGTCTTCGAGGATGTCATCAACACGGTGGCCACGTTCAAGAAGCCCGTGGCTGCCGACCGCAAGGGCGTCTACGAGCTCAAGGAGTCACTGTATGACGAATTCAACGTTTACTACTATCACTACACCAAGGAGGACAAATCAAAGGCCGAGGAACTGCAGCGGGAACGTCGCAAGTCCAAGAAGGAGCTCGTCTGCTGTCCGCCGCCCATGCTGCCACAATTGACACCAGCATTCACGTAAGTCGTTTCTCTGTCTTATCTCTGTGGTAAAAGCTAATTCTAATATATTTTATTTTGCCATTATTTGCAGATCCATGGCCAACATATTGCAGTGCAATGTTTTCCTCACAATTTGCACTTTGACCATGGACCGGGCACTGGACATACGCAGTCGCTGCTTCTCTGAATCTCACGTGCAGAAGGTAAGTGCACTACACACCCCGTGTGGGATGACCCCTGCTAATGGAGACTTCCATTTGATTTCAGATTTTACACTTGTTGGGCTTTGCCATCCAGGAGGAACTGAGCGAACATTATCCATTCCTCAGTTTCTATGAACGCGCCCAGCAGTATGGCATCCTCGATAAGTTGGAGGAGCTAGCCCGTTGCCCAAGGGTGAGTAAATTACTTCAATGGCTTGTGTGCAGATTTACTTGAATTTCGTTTCGTTTTGCGTACAGTTGGAGGCGCATCGCGACTTTGTGCTGTGGACCATTAAGCGGTTCAAGGATATGCAGGCCAAGCAGGCGCCAGCAGCAGCGGCCGGCCCCAGCGGCTCTCAGAGACAGTCGATGGGGGGCGAGGAGTTGCCGCTGACATCCGAGGAGCAGGCACGCAAGGAGAAGGAGACTCGCGCTAAGCTGGCCGCCGAGCGTAGAGCGAAGCTCATGGCCCAGATGAAGAGTGCCCAGAATTCGTTTATGAAGTCAAATGCCGAGATGTTTGCCAACAGCGACCTGGAGCAGAGTTCCACTGGATCGGGAGCCTCAAGCTACAGGACGGCTGCCTCGATGGGCGGCAGTGCCATGGAGTGGGAGGATATATCGGACGACAGCCTTGAAGAGCAGGGTGCGGCCGCTCTGGCGATAAAGCAGAACCCGGCCTGCCTGGGACCCAATCGGGCACCCTATCAGGCGCAGGAGAACAGCTTCAAGTGCATTCTGTGCTTCGAGAATTGCAGCATCAATCCGGACGGACCGCCGCTCGTTAGCTCCGCTTTTGTGCAAACCTCGCGCGTCATTCTGACCACGCCAGGCCACTACGATGGCAAGAGCGGCATGCATGTGAGCTGCTGCGGCCATGTGATGCACTACAAGTGCTGGCAGGAGTACTACAGCAACGAGGAGTCCAAGGAGCAGCGTCGCCACCACCGGAACCGCCTCGCACTCACCCATGTCCCCAACGTGGAGTTCCACTGCCCGTATTGCCGGGCCCTCAGCAACATTGTGCTCCCCGTTAGCGAGCCATTGGGCGGACTCATACCCGGCCATGCCGCAGTGTCGCCGGTTGTCGGCGGTGGCAGCTCCGAGAACTACTTGCCCCTGGACTGCTTTGTGGAGATCATGCGGACCCTGGCCGGAGAGCTAGCGGCTCCGGCCGCTGACAGCACCATGTGGCAGTATCCGAGCGTGCTGCGCAAGTCCAATGTGATCGGCGATGTGGCCCAGTTCGAGCGGAGTGTGCAGCTGATCGAGAAGCCGCAGCTGCATCCCACATGCTCGGATGTGATGTCATCCTTCAACAAGGCGCTGCAGAATGCGATGCACAGCCAGCAGCCGAACGCTGCCGCCGATGGCGGCGTTGGCGTTGGTGTTGGCGTTGAGAGCGATAGCCCGTACCTGGTCTTTGACGCATGCAGCTACACCCTGGAGTCCCTCGAGATCTACATGTTCACCATGCGCAAACCGCTTAAAGTGGAGATGCCCATGCGCCATCAGACATGCACCACGAATCTGGTGCGCGCCTGTTCCCTCTACTCGTGCTGGGCACCGCATCGCCCCGAACAGGCAGCGAAGCTCCTGGATACCATATTCAACCAAAAGGGAACCAGCGTACTCGAATGGGACTGCTTCCGGATGCTAGTCCAGCTCAATTTCGGTGTCCTCAACCTAATGGTGAGGGAGAGTGGTAAGTGCCTTTCTCTACCTTTCTGTCTTTTCTGTTGATTATCCTTCCGTCTTTGCGTAGAACATGCCATCCTGCCCAGCGGCAGCATGTTCGATTTCTACATGCTGCAGACCATGTTCCTGGCCAATGTCACAAAGGCCGTCATCTGTTTTGACGTTGAGAAGGAGCTGGCCAAGCGGCGGGCCAAGGAGGAGGCCGGCGAGCAGACGGAGTTCTCTCAGCTGGCGTATGTAGAGCAGCTGCCATCGAAGATTCAGGAGAATATGGTGGCATTCTATCGTAGCTACAATGTGCCAGCGCGCATGCGCCAGCTGGTGCAGCAAAAGAAGTTGGCCGAGTCGGAGGAGAAGCAGACTCAGAGCCCGAATCAAGAGCAGACTGTGGTTATCCCCTGCGAGCTGCAGCACTTGGCGCTGATGCTGGAACATGTGCGTTATCAGATGGGCTCGTTTCTGCGCTGCGCCTGCCTCTTCTATCGCTGCATGACCGATGTGGAGTTCCCCGACACGTTCCCCTTGGAGCAGCCGGATAGATTCGATCTGATGTGCCAGTACCTGGGTCTGGATGCCGACATGGGCGTTTATTTCGACATGGAGACAGTCTTTGCCACCATGATGCACAACTTTGCCTCACATCCGCACGTCCTGCGACAGGCCGAGCAGTGCAGCTTAGGCTATGGCGATCCCGTCGAGGTGTTGCCATGCCTCCGCCCCCTGCCGGCGCTGAAGAAGCTCTTCGACGATTACAGCGATCTGATCAACAGCGTGTCGGACATTTTCTGTCCCAATAATGAGCGCGAGGAAATGAAGACCCCAACGATGTGCCTGATATGTGGCGAAGTGCTCTGTGGCCAGTCGTACTGCTGCCAGCCAGAGCTGGGAAAGATGTCGGTGGGTGCCTGCACCCATCATGCCTACAGCTGCGGGGCCGAGGTTGGCATATTCCTGCGCATACGGGACTGCCAGGTGGTGTATCTGGGTCGCGGCAAGGGCTGCTATGTCCAGCCACCGTATCTGGACGAGTACGGAGAGACGGATCAGGGCCTAAGGCGTGGCAATCCGTTGCGCCTCAGCCAGTACGCCTATCGCCGCATCTTTATGCAGTGGCTGGGCCACAAGCTGCACGAGGAGATTGCTCGCCTCAATGACAATGCCAATGTGGCTGTAACGCAATGGCATCACATGTAGTCCGGACGAGGGAAACGCAGTAGATCGCCCAGCTGCAGTCGGATCGCTAGAGCGGAGCGGAACGGGTGAACTGACTCTGACGCTGAAGCTGAAGGATATCGAGAGCAAGAGAGATGGCAATGGCTGCAGTCAATGTGATTATTACGTACTAACATTAGGAGAGCATATTTATACGTCTAAGCATTTTACGAGTTATCCTTTCGAAAGGAAACATAACCCTTCCCCCCAAAACACACACACACACAATACACAAACACACCTCGATACGTTGAGTACCAAAACGGAAACCACAACCAAAAAAACAACTGAACTTAACGCCTAAATTTTAACTCAATGTAAAATCCACACACACAGCCAACAAACAGACACAGACACACACGTCCGGATTCAACTTTGTAAAATCGTCTTGCGTTTTCTATCACTATTTCACATAAAACTTGATTAATATTATTATTATTATTATTTTTTTTGAGCTAACATTAGAGAACTTGTTGATAGTTTGAGTAGTAGACCGAATTTTGCGGAACTTCTCTAGTTATATATATATATAATATACATATACTACACTTAAAGAAAGAAAACAAAAATGTAATAGGTTAGATTTTTGCCAGCACCTTCAAGGACTATATCACACACACAAACACATGAGCCCCTCGCCCCACACAGCAGATGAGAAAGTAAAATTAAACAATCGAGCACACTGTGTGTTTATTTGCTTCTGATTGATCTGTGCCCATGTCATACCCAGCAGCACCACTTCCCAAATCTATGTACATAGAAATCTTTGAATCCTTATCCCAAGTCCCCACACTCTTGGCAGGGAACTGCTGAGTTGCATCAATCGATGCAATTAACCGGATGGATGTCACACATGAGCAGACACACCCGACCCATGATATTGGCACACCTTCAACTGTGAACCACACACTACCCCTAACGACACGAAGATGGCTTCAAAAATACATACTAAAGTTAGTCAAATCATGTTTTCTTTATGAATATACTTAACACCTCCTCCATATGGCAACTATCTGCGCATAGATAGATATATGGACACGCATGTTTCTATCTATATATTGTACAACAACAACAACAGCAAAAACAATATTGATTTATGTAAAGTTCAAGCAACATATTGATGCGAAACAAAATCTTACAAATGGAAATGCGAGGAAGCAAAAACAAATTTGAAATAAAAAGCAGTTTGAAAAATATTCTAGTGAATCTTTGGAATGCGGGACGAGGCAGGCAGAAGAGATGATTACCCACAGCATAATCGTAAATCATTAAAAATAACAAACCATTTATGACCCCAAGTTAAGAAATGCTTTGTGGGATGTATATTTTGTTTTTATTGTATTTAAATTGAAAATTTGCTGCTCTGTATTGTGTAGATTCTAAATTGAATGGCTACAAAATATTTGTATGTATTGCATAAAATCGCGGGGCCCCATTAAAAATACATCTAAAAATTATATTACAAATATGAAAATATTGCCAAGCAAAGGCCAAGTCGCATTAGTTCCTCAAGTCAGATAGTCTAAGTATCGCAGGGCCTTTGAGGGATCCAAATGCTATGAACTGATACATGCATTGAAGACAAATGGCAGACACTCAATCATATGGAACACACACACAAACGAGTATGTACGCGTAAAAGTAATTAATGTTCTTTTATGGTAATGTACAATTTGGATTTTGAGTGATTATGATTATGATTATGTACAGAGATAATGGGAATTAGAGTAGGAAAAGTTAAGGTTCGTAAATCAATCGTATTTGATATTAAATTCATATTATCTACCTATAGTTATACATAACAACTAAAGAAATGCAACTGACAGGCAGACACACAGGACATCTGTTGATTCCTCTACTTGAGAATAATCTCTGGTGGTGGTAGAATATTGTCACCGTAGAGGCAATACCAGATACTCGAATACCAAATGGTACGATCCACCCACTCGCTGCCTGCCAGAACATGGCCAATATAGGGAGCATCTCGTGATCTGCAAGGCAATGCAAATATAGAGATAAATTTGTTTGGGAAATAAATGTCTGAGGTGCAAATGCCAAACCTCATTATCTGCGCCTGGGTGCGCTCGACAAAGGTGATGGCCCAGCTCCAGGGAAAGTCTCGTTTGCGCTCACAGCCCACATAGGCTGTACAGCTATGCAGGAAAATCTCCCTGATAATTGTCGTCTTGTCGTTCTTGTCCTTCTTGGAGACAACAATCTTGGCGTCCCGCAGCTCGCACTGCAGAGATTTGAATGTCTTGGTGCGATTGTCGGCGAAGCGCAGCTCCTTGCCGGGCGTCACCGTTGCCAAATTCTTGACCGCTCGCTGGATTTCGCGCAGCATCTCAATGGGTCGCACCATCAGATAGTTGTGCTTGCGATCCTCCTCCGGCCAGTACGACCAGTTCAGGATCACGTCAAACACCTTCGTATCATGGTGCAGTGGCCGCTCCAGGCTGTCGTTCAGTATCACTTCGTACAGCGTCAACTGATGGGTTGGCAGTTGCATTTTGGCAGCATACTCACGGCACAGCTCGTAGGCGGTCTTCGTGGGCGATATTGTGGCGTTTACCTGCGTCTTTTCCTGGACAAATAAATTGATAAGAAGTGGTCAATCGTAATTGATGAATGGACGGCAAACCTCTGTGGTGTTGTCTGGATTCGGATTGAGGCTGATCCAGATCTTAATGTCTCCCGACTGCTTTACCGCATCTTTGAGCGTCTCGGCGGCGGAGTAATACTTTTGCAGGCATGCCAGCATGGCCTGCTCCCGTTTCTGCATCAAAGACAAACAACATTAAGAGACACACCCCAGCTGGCGTTGGCCCTTTTCAACTTACAATTTCATCGGCACTGACGGGGAATAGGTTCTTGTAGAGAAGAATGAGATCGCTGAGCACATCGGCCTCTTTCTGAGAGTAGATCAGCTCGTCGTTCTATTGAGGGAGGAGATGAAAGATAACAGATGCAAATGCAAATACAGATGATGACCCACCTTCTTGGCCAGCAACGTTGGGCCCCAGATCATGGTTAGATTTTGCACGCTCATTTTGTTCTTGGTCTGCTGTGAGCTAATGAACACCAGATGGCCAACGATTCGTCGCAGTGTCTCGTGCTCGATGGGCGAGAGACGAGCGAGGAGCTCACGATAGATGGGAATCTTCTCGGCGGCCACATCCAGCTCGGTGACGAACACGAAGCTGTCGGTTAGCTTGCCCAGCAGTCGCTCGGGCAGGTCCCGCATGAAACGCTTGAGCACATTGGCCACATCGTGCTCGTTGTACTCGTTGCGAGTGATCTCCACATTAAAGGCATCCGCCCGGAAGGCGCTCATCAGCTTGTGCATGGAGTTCTCCGAGCCCGACTTGCGGTAGATACCCTCCGACATGGAGCCATGAATGTACACAAAGTTGATGCACTTGTCCACAATCACGGGCACATCGTAGCGAGTCAGCTGCTGATCGCCCAGCGAGAAGCCATTGTTGTGGGCCACCTCCCGTATGATGTGACGCCAGATCTTTGTCTCTCGGGCCGAGCTCATGATCATGTAGACTGCAAACGGTGGACAGTCAATCATCAGCATTGGCCCGCTGCCGACGTGCAGGTTATCAATCGACTCGTCGCTGTCCTTGAGCACTATTCAAGAGGGGAATTCTTTATAATCTTCTACATATTTAATGGGTTTATCCTCTATACCTATGCAACGCGCCTTGCGCAAGTCCATTTTCTCCACATTCCCCGTGGCCTCGCTCACGAAGATGAGACGCCGCTGGCTCTTGCGCAACACCAGCCATGTGCCACTCCACTCCGACGTGATGGAGTTCTGAAACGGAACGAAAAGAAGAGCTTTATGAGCGTCTCACACACACAGCGGGAGGCTTCACGCACCTTGAGGTAACACCAGCCCGCGCGGTAGTAGTGGCAGGTGTACTTCACAGGCATGCTGTTGGTGAGACTCTCGAGGATTTTCTGCATCCAGACACCCCTCTCGGACTCCTTGCCCACGCCATAGAGGTGCGAGACACGCTGCTGCTTGACGTTGCCCGACGAGCTGCTGGTCATCACGAGATTGGGATTCGAGGACATGCTGTCGCTCGCTCCGTTGCCGCTGCCGTTGCCTCCGTTCTTCGGCTGCGACGTCGTGATCTCGAAGCAGTAAAAATGTGTGGCCGTGTCCGTGACGCGACTGTTGCTGACACACTGCAGCGTGGTTATGGTGTCAAGGGGTATCGACTCCCTGGGCGTCTTCATCTCCTGGTCGAGAAACGTCTGGAATTGGCGATCCCTCAGTATGGCCTTGCGGTTCTGCATCTCCTTGAGTATATCCTCGACCACGCCCGAGGGAAATCGCACCAGTGGCCCCTCGTAGCGCACCAGCAGCGGCGACAGACTGGGCCGTGGCACCATCTGCAGTGCCACCTTCACCTCCGACTGCCGCTTAAAGCTGGATCGTCGCTTCATCACATCCATGCGCAGCTTCACACTCGAGAAGGTTGTAATTGTCTTACGCAGGCGTGAACTGAGCGTTGAACGTGACTCGCTACTGACTGGTGGGTTCTGTGTGCCTGTGCCTGTGCCGGTGCCACCTCCTCCAATGGCTTCCAGGTAGGTGGGTGGGCTGTCGCCTTCAATGGCCACGGCTGCCTTGGTGCTGCTGCTGCTGCTGCTGCTCGAGGTGCCTGTCCCTGTAGCTGAAGCTGCGGGTGTGGCTGTGGCTGTGCTCGGTGTGCCATCAGCCACAAACCAATTTGTGCGATTCCTTGAGACGCTGGCCAGATCCACCGACGTTCTGTTGGCACTTCCCTCGGTTATTTTGCCTAGATAGGGCCCGGCCCGTGCCTCCAGCTGCTCCTGCTCCCGGTCGAGCATGTTCTCCATGCTGTCGCTCAGCAGCTGGGCATTCTGGTGCACGATCTGTGGCTGGCGTCGGCTCGCCGTGCCGCAGCCACTTGGCGGCTCCTCCTCGGAGGTGCACATGCTGATGTCATCCTGCTCCCCTTCCCGTTCCCGCTTCACAGTGCCGTAGGTGTCCTCCTCCAGCAGATGTTCGAGCAGCAGCAGCTCGTTGCTCTTGTTGGAGCGCGACAGCGTCGAGCACTTGCTGCTCATCAATGGATCGAACTCCTCGATGAGGTCCTGGGGCGCCGTCCAGCCACCCACAGCTCCATCGTTGCTGTCCAACTCCCCATCCTCGCTGATGCAGGCCAGCTCCTGCTGCTGCTGCTGCTGCTGCTGTGGGCTGGGCGTCAACAAACTGCAACTGCGACTGCTGCCTGCCGTGGCCATCTCGAAGAGCTTGCCGTAGGTGGCTTCCTGATTGGCATAGACCGGCTCCGGGGAGGACTCTCCCTCATCCTCCTCCTGCCGCTGCTGCGGCTGCTGCTGCTCCTCACCATCCTCGCCGTAGAACTGCCAGGAATCGCTGCGCTCTGGCTTGGGTGCCCGCGCCTCCTCGGCGGCAATCTTGGCGGAGATTAGCAGCGACTCCTCCCGCTCCGCTGCCGCCGCTGCGCGATTAAGTTCCTTCAGCTCGGCGGAGTCCACGGGGGGACGCCGCAGCTCGATGTGCTCGTAGTTCTTGCGCCGCTTCTGCCGCACGGGCGGCTGTAGTGCATCCAGCCGGAATTGCTCCGGCTGTTGGGAGAGTCGCGGCGGGGGGAATGCAGGCATCGGCAGGGATGCGGCCAGGGCCGACGTTGAGGCATCATCCACGCGGGTCGGGACACGCTGCGACCGCAGCAGAACCTGTTGTGTCTGCTGGGCAGCTGGCGACGGCGTCGGCGTCGGCGGCTCCTGGGCGAGATTCTTGGCCAGTGGGGGAGGTGGGGAGGGACGTGCTCTCAGTGCCTCATCGTAGCTGGGTGGCTTTCCCTGCACCTTGGGCACCTCGTAGCAGCCCTCATCCCCGGCACCCTCCCCGCCAGCTGGCGACACTTCATCCTTGTCCTTGGTCTGTTCGCGGAGATCGGTGAAGCCTCCGCCGCCGACATTTCGGCTCAGTGGACTCGAGAACTGTATGGCATTGAACACTTCCGTGCTGGGCATGGTCTGCCTTCGCTCCAGATCCAACTCCCCAACGCACCGCTCCCCGCCATCCTCTGCTCTGTCCTCGCGGCCTCCTCTGCCCGTCAGGGTGAAGTTCGAGCCAAAGCGCCGGCTGGCATTCATCAGGCGGCTGCCAGCGTCGGCGCTGAGATTGCTAATCGCCTCCGTGGAGCTCTTCAGGTTCCTGTCCAGACGCTTCTTGGCCCCCTTGGCCTTGAATGTGATCCGTTCGCCAATGGCCTCGCCCAGCAGCTTCGAGGTGGTGCCCAAGGATCGCAGTAGATTGCTGCGAAACGAGAGAGAGAGAAAGAGAGTCAGTTTTGTGCCAGACGGAGTTTCGTTTCATTCCCATTTGATAAGTAACTGAAATCCAATTAATACTAGTGCAATGTGTCTGTGTGTGAGCCCCTGCATGTGTGTGTGAGTATCGGGAATACTTATTATTGGCATGAAATGGTAGTCATGCGCTGGGCTCTGTCCACTCAATGTGCAAATATTTTGTTTCAATCCAGTGAACCAAACCATTCGCTCGCTTTTTGTTCGCTAAATGCTCGTTTCCGAGGCTTCAGTCATTTACGAACATTTTGCCACAGTTCCGCTTTAGTGTTGTCTTTTGTTCCACTGGGAATCGATTTATGGGGCTAACTAAGACTAAAGGGATAAAGCCCTGAAACTATGATGTAAACTAAGATTATTTACAATTAGATTTTAAATTGTGCTTTGGGAATCGCTTGTTAAGTATCAAACTATTAACACAAACTTATTTAATTAGTTATAGTTCAAAAATATATATAAAAAGGAGTTCCGTTTGCTGCAGAAACCTTCGAGTCTGCCCCGAAGGTACCAAACCCAGAGATGGGGGGAAAACCCGAACCAACCGAAACCGAAACCGAAATTGTGAAAAGTCAAAAAAGGATTAGCCACAAACAATGATGGGATATTCGGATGGCGGCAAGAACCCAAGAACTAGGGAGGAGGATGAGGGTGCAACTACAGAGAAACCCGCTTAGAGGAAACACCCAAGAGAGGAGAAGAATAGGGGAGACAGAGGGCAGAAGATAGTTTTGTATAAGGAGAACATTTCGGTAAAGTTTACTTGTCATCTTCGTGATCTTGTTCTTGGTCACAGCTGGAGGACTGATCGAGCGACGTCGATGAACATGTCGAAGGTGGTGGCGGTGACGTTGGCAGTGGCGGAGGCGGAGGCGGAGGTGTTCCCGGTGTCTGCCCCCGCTGATCAACGCCATCGACGTCGTCTACGTACCCGGGTGACTGCGACTTAAACCTGCCGCTCTGCGAACCCTGCGAGCTGCAGTCCAGCGAGGCGTTCGAGCCGTAGAGAGACGCATCCCCCGCCGTCTGACCAGCCGTGGAAGCCAAGCTACAGATGGACGAGCGCTGCTCCAGGCCGGGCGGCTTGGGCGGCACTTGCGGAGCTGTGCGCACCGCTCTCAAGGGCACCGTGTCCACATCTACCTCCACTTCGTTCTGCGGCGACTCCGCCGGCGGTGGTCGCTGTCTGGGCGCTGGTCGGGGCGCGGCATAGATCGGCTCCGTTGGCACATTCTCGTTGGCATCCGGACCGTAGATGGGCTGCGGATGTTCGGCATTGTTCTCCTGCAGCACCTGCAGCTTGTTCTGGCCACTGGCCGGTAGCTTCTTCTCCCCACAGTGGCCGTGCAGGTTCTCCGCGTTGATGTTCAGTCTCTTTAAGCTGATGTTAGTATTATTATTGTTGTTGTTGTTGTTGTTTATGTTGTTGGGCTTGATCTCGATGTTCTCATAGCTGGCGGGACGCAACTCGGAGGCGCAGAGACGCCGCGGAGCCGGCACAGGTCGCGCCTGTTCCATGGCAGGGACGTCTGAAAGTAAGAGAAAGGTTTGCAATTTTATTTGGGTTTATTGCTGTGGGTGTGCAGGTACTTCTTAGATCTAGGTACCCTTTCGGCCCTTGGGGATTTGCCTGGCTGACTTTGAGGGCTTAAGGGGTAGGCAGGGCAAGACAGGTAGAGATTTCTGGTATAAAGAACTCTATCTCGATGGCTGATCAACACACTCGATCGCATAAACTCAAGCAAGCAGCATGTCCTGGAAGAGCACGGAAACCTTTAGCCAAAAGTCGCGCACTTTCTGGCTCACCCTCGTCCGCCTGCTGCTGCAGCTGCTGCGATGCGTCTACCAAGGTCAGGCCAGAGCCAGTGCTACCACAGAGGATGCGAATGGAGGACTGGAGCTACGGGTGGCCGCGCACCGGCAACTGCTGGAGCGGCAGGCCGAGGAGTACGCCAAGGTGGACCTGCTGCACCGGCTGCTCGTCCAGCAGCAGCTGCACGAACTGGAGCAGCGCCGCCTGATGCGATTGGCCCTCGCCCGGCGACGTCTGCAGTTCTCCAATTAGCGGGGGAGTCGCTTATCTCATTATCATTTACTTAGATTTAGATTATTTATACACAGTGCAAAGCAGGGCAGGGCAGTGGCTTCTGCTTCTGCTTTGCTTTGCATATTTTAAGTGACAAATTACTGTGGAGAGTATCCAACAAAATAAAGCGCAAAGCGATGATCTGCCATGGACACACTATAGACACGTGTTTACCTTCACTCTCTGTCGTTCTCCGACGATCTGTCTCTCTGTCTCTGACTCAATTAGATCAACGATCGCCAATCGTTGAGTTTCATTTCGATTCGATGGGTCATCAATAATTTTGGCTTTCACTTTCCGCTTTGAAAGTCAGCGTTTTGGCTTTGTTTTCTTTTTTGTTATGCATTTCTGTTGAATATTTATTTCAGCTGGAGCAGATCTTCCAATCTAAGCTGCAGAAACACAAATAAATAAATAATGCCGCCGATTATCGGCTGAATTGACTTCTTTCTAGCCATTTGCCGAAGCTGGTTAAGCAGGGAAAGTCCCTCAATTGGTTTATCCTCAATAAGAATGATATTGTATCCATCATTTACATATTTACATGTACATATGTAATCCAAGTAATCCAAGCTGCCAGTTCCCTGAACTTTTCAACTTTCAGCAAAGCCATCTGTCTGCTGGGCGTTCAATTTGTTGTTGTTGTCGCTTAAGTGGTCGCTCCACTTCAAATGAGAGTGAGTACTCTCTTCGGCCTGGTCCCTCTTCCTCTCCCTCTGCCCCTGTCCATGTCCGTGTCCCTGACTGATTCCCCTCTCTTCTCACTGAACGTTTCCCTTTTCTGCAGTTATCAATGATTTTGTTTATAAATGTTTAAGTAGACCGACCCATTGTAAAGTCATTCCCATTCCCATTCCCATTCTCATTCTGGTTTCCTTTTTGCATATACTCCGTGCGAGTATTGCGCTTTCCATTGGATTACTTTGATGAATAAACTTGCTCAGAGTGAGTGCGGATGAGTCACTACCTACGTATCACACACATATGTACATATATGCATACATAAATACATTTACATAGATATGTATGAGCTGCTGGCATCCTGCTATTGTTTTTCCCAGAAAATCAGCTGCAAGGCATTCCCTTGGTGTCTTCTTTCGGGTGTATGGGCGCAAAAGTGTCTCACAAAACGCTCGCTAGCACGATAATCATATACATTTGTACATACGTACGTACTTATATACATATTTATTTATTTATAGTGAGAGCTAGCCGTGCAGCGCAGCGATAACAATGACAATGACGATCGCCACAACCAACAATGATAATTATATACAGTGTCCATTGTCCACTGCTGATGGAACAGCAGATGAATAAGCCCAGCAATTGATACATTTCTATGTACATACATCATCATGTATGCATTTATGTATGTACGTTGGCTGTTTCGATATTGGATTTAGAATTTATAACTGAAAGCTGGGTTTCGATTCTGTTGAGAAATCAAAGTTCTTATCAATGGCTTCAATATTTATTTATTCACTCTCATTGCTGGAGATTGCAATGGTCTCTGATATCTGCGAATTCAGTGGGGAATACAGAAACTGCCTTTCCGCTTAACACTTTCGAGGTAATGTCATACTTGCCACCGATTTCATACAGCACAGGCCCTGCCCTGCCCTGCCACCAGTTCACAATCAGCGCCATATTTTGTTGTTGTTTTGCTCTCCCATTGTGGAGTAAATTGCTCAGAGGGCACTCTACTGTTTGAGCTTTAATTGGGGCCTGGCTTTCTTATCAGCTTTTCATTAGCAGACCACACCAGAGCGACACCAGAAATTCCAGCCAAATTTCAATTAAATCTACACAAATATGTTTGCATACAACAAAGATTTAAGATATTTAGCAATTTGCTGATTTTCCGAGCTTCATTTTAATGGGACATTACGAGACTTTTGCACTAGTCCCGCTGTTCTTCTTATGTACAAATTGATATTCAATTCTCTGTGGATCCCGAACCAACAACTCAAGGAAAAGTTTGTCATTTGTGATTTTTATAGTTCAAGAAAGAGCGAGCTAAATTTTAACTCGGAATCTGCAGCAAAAATATCCACAAAAATAATGAATTTGCAATCTTTCAACTTTGAAAACTGTTTAAAATAGTTGTGCATACGAATATGTACCACATTGAATGCGATTTAAAATTGATAGGGTTTAATTTATCTGTTTAGTTGGCATTAAATGTATGTACGAATGTGGACGGGCATTTGCTCTCATTTTTGGCGTGTGTTTCCCCTCACAGAACACCATTAAAAACTCTAATTGAGCTTGGTTCCGTTGTGCCAAAATAAAATATGAAATACAAATATAGAAATAGATGCAAGCATATGTACATACTATGTATGTACTTTGTATGTGTGCACGATGTTCTCATAAACAATGTCAAATAAATCTGCCTTCACATGCATTTTCATATGCATGGGCAGGGGCAGGGGCAGGGGCAGGGGACTATGCGGAATATGCAATTGGAGCTTACATACTTATTCGGATGAATCACTTGCACTCTCACGTTTTTGTTTGTTGTTCTGCTTGTTTGTTTGTTTGCACAGTGTCTGGTTGTTTTTCATGCACAATGTAACAGCAGAGGGGTATTATTCGTATTATCTGATAGCGTATGCTCCCTGCAGCACTCTCCATGTACGTAAAAACATATTTTGTTTATATGTAAGTACTCTTCGCACGAGTATTGGTGCACTTGCGTTTTGCGAAAGAGTTGAAACATTGTTTTTTATTTGTATAAACAAACTTTTGAGTTCGATAAGAGAGCACATTAAAAAAAAGCTGAGTCGCCTCAGCTCCTATTTCTCCTACCCCCACCAAATGGCTGGCGAGGGTCTCATATTCATTGAGCACAGTGCAAAAAGACGGACCAATTGCGGAGGAAATGGGCACAGAGAGTCGAGCACTCTCTGGGCATAACGTTACCATGGCCCCAATTATATAAGACGGAGGAGAGTCTCCAGCCAGAGCGACTCGATTTCCCAACTTGCTTGACGGCATTTTTTGTCGCATTCACAGTATGTAACATTGTACATATGTATGTATGTAAGTCTCCATCGATTTGAGATTTGATCTACACGCAGACACACACACACGCACATGCCACCAGAACAGACGCGCTGCTTGTGTATGTAAATTGTAAATTTAAATGTCGCGCCTGCGCTGACCAAGGGAGCAAGGTTCTGTTTTGCGGTAGCGTAGCAGGGTAGGGGCAGACAGTGATTAGCTGACCGTTATCGTTGTCCCCTCTCTGTCTCTGTCTCTGTCTCTTTCTGCAGACAGTTCTGGGCGTACCAAATCGATGAACCCCAATGCGAAACTTCTTCAGGGGACCGACCCGGTCAAATCAAGTGGGTCGAACGTTTTTGCTTTATTCGGTGGGGGATAGAGCCAATCTACTGATCGACATAAATATGTACATAGTTGTGTGTGCAGTTAATAGTCGTGGGTCGTATCCGTATCTATCAAATGGACGGACGGATATCAGTGTTGTCGTATAACAGCCGGGCCAGATATGACTATGAGTAACTATTCGGAATGTTGGAGGGATTGTGGGGGAAAGGTTGTTCGGTGAATGTGTGCCAGAAAACCTAATATGTTTATAATTGGTTAAATTGCCAAACAATTAAGAGGCGCGGACGGACAGACAGCACCAGTGAAATGTGCCACGTTAGTGGAGAGATAGAGAGAGTGGGAGAGACACTTGTGTCGTGCCACCGTTCTGTGTCACCAGGTGACGCCGCTGACCACCGCTATCTACTTGGTCCGGCGCTGTCTGCGGCTGTGCCTTTTGCCAATAAAACTGTTGCGATAAGCATTTACAATAGAGCACTTCCAGGCCATTTGCCAATATTTGTGTAGTATCGAAAACTATCACAAAATGGGAATATGCGGGCACAAAGAACTAAACATATTTTCTCGTAGTTTACACTGAAATAAATCACGGGCATTTCCTTTCTACGCTTTTGTCTATCTGGGACATTAAAATAGTGCTCGCCAGGTAAAAGATAAAACACTTCCCTGAGCACGAGAGGGTGGGTGGTGGCCGCTGGAGGGTTTTACAGTTTTGATGAAAACAAAAACAACAACTTTACCTTTCGCTTGTTGGCTTCGAATCAATATTCCGAATCCGATTTATGCGCTTTTCGTATTTAACAAACAACAAAAACAAACCATACAACAATAAAAAAAAGAAAACAAAGCGAAACGAACGGCACTGCCCAAAGAGAAACAAGTCTGGTATTCGGTATCTGGAGGATATTTCGGACGATCTATTTATGCTAGGGCTTCCTCCACTCTACGAGTAGTTCCTGTTGACACATTTTCGCGGGGCGGCTTTTCACATAATACGCGTGTATCTATCACTTTCCGACGATCGTTTGGCTGCGTTTCGTTTATTTATTCGAGGAATGAATAATTTCTGAATGCCTCATGTACACGTACGCGCACACACACTGAAACGCATTGTTGGATTTGTATTTCTCGCTCCGATCGCTGGAATGTATTTTCTGGGACAACTAGTGTTGGGTCGTTCATAAACGAACGAACCAAAAAGAACTGTTCACTCAAGTGAACAAAGAGAAATTCATTTTAATCGATCTTTTTCGTTCGTTATTCTGTGTTCGTTCTTTTACGATGGTTCTTTTTTATTATTTATTTGTTGTTCATATTTCTTAGAAACGGTTGGTTGTGTCTCAACGAAACAAAGTTCCAAGTACAAATACAAATTAATATTCTAAGTTTACAAACCTATTACATTATGTACACATATATATACAAGTGGATATCAGAGCTTAAACGGACCTAGGAAATAACAAAGCGGAACAGGAAAAATAAATAACAATCAAAACTACCAAATATAACGATTAAATATACAACGATTGAGATGAACAAAAATAAAACCCAAACCAAAGGAACGACTTAGTTCACTGAATAAAAATGAACGAACGAACTTGTTCAGTCAATTGAACGATGTTTTCCCAACACTAGGGACCAGCTATCGATAGTATTAAAAGTTTTCTTAAGTGCCACCACCATCGCCCGACTATATACAGAAAGCAGCGAAAAAACCAAATAAATATTTTGTGAATTAAAGCGAGGACTCGATTAATAAGTTTCGGCATTGAAGAAGTTCGCAAGTCAGAGCAGCCGACGACGTTGATGCCCGCAGCGCAACTCCAGCGAAAATCCCAATCGCAGCGCGTCCACGAGAAAGCAAACGGAATTTGCTCAGTGGAAGGGGAAGCCACGGCAGACAGAAGGCCCACACGGACACAAAATGGCCACCAGCGAGATATCCAGCTCCAACGAGCGCCACTACTATGCCAAGTTAGAGGCCATCAAGGACATTAGGGACAAGACGCTGTCCCTCGAGAAGCTTAAGGTGCGCATCATCAAGGAGGTGAAGCTGAGCGACGACGAGGAGAAGTGTCTGGAGGAGTACCGCAAGGAAATGGAGCACCTGCTTGAAGAGAAGATGTCCCACGTGGAGGAGCTGCGCCAGATCCACGCGGACATCAACGACATGGAGAACATCATCAAGCAGACAAAGGAGAACCAGACGCGCTCCTTCGACATGGCTAATCGCGTCTACGAGGAATACTTGGCTCTGAAGTACCAGATCGATCACATGCGGCGAGACTACCTTGGCCTCAGTCCGCTGCGCGACCTGCACGAGGAGGAGGGCAGCCCCATATCGAAGGATCGTTTCCAGACAAACTTCCTCAAGGTGGCCGCACAGTCGGCGGCGGCCGCCGCAGCCGCAGCAGCCGCCTCGGTCGCACAACCCACGTCCCTGGCTCGACCACACGCTCGTCATCCCCTGATGCCCGAGGCTACGGTCACCGCCATGCCCCCCAGTGCATCGTCCGGTGGCGGTGGCAGCAGCTCAGTCAGCGCAGGCGGTGGTGGTGGTGGTGGTGGACCCGGGCACGCCTTTATGCCGCCGGCACCGCCTGGAGCGGGCGGCGCTGGGGCTGCAGCAGCTGCCGCAGCAGCCGCTGTGCGTCTGGGCAAAGGCGACTTCTCGGCCCCGCCGCCTCCACCTCCGCCCACAAATCGTCTTCAGCAAACACCGTCGATTGGAATCGGGCACCATCCGTCGTTCCGTTCGGACTTCAACGTGAATCTCCGCCAGCAGCCGCCGCCGATGAAGTCGTGCCTGTCATGCCATCAGCAAATCCATCGAAATGCCCCCATCTGCCCGCTCTGCAAGGCCAAGTCGCGCTCCCGTAATCCCAAGAAGCCCAAGAAGAAGAACAACTAGATGGCAATCAGAGGTGCAGGTCCACGTCCACGTTCACCGGCAGGAACATCGACAATTACACTCATCAATCTATTCGTAATGATTTCCCGGCCAGGTCCAGGTCCCGGAGCCATAGGCCTAGAGGTTTTTTTTTTGTCAACTATTTATTAACCCAAGAAAAGTATTACCAAGCTAAATAACAAATTCTCAAAACACAAAAAACTAGTTCTTAAGAGCTTTTGAAGAGTGTTTTTGCTCAATTTTAATTTTCGATTGTAAGTTAAATCTAATTTAAAGACTTTTAAAAGCAAATCTCGTGTCAAATTTCATGAACTTAATTCATAAGTGTGTAAGCATTAATATACTTAATGTGCATGTGCATATAGACATCTTGAGAACTTAAAAAATAAAAATAATAAAACTAAGTTGAATTGGCAAAAGTTAAAACATTTGGTTATGAGGAAGGATTAGGAGAGGATAAACTTGAACATAAAATATTGGACGGAGAACGATTAATCCATATACAACGAGAAGGGACGTGTGAGACGCTTCTTACGCGTCACAACTTTTATACCCGGCACTCAGTACTACATCTGCACCTGTCAAACCTGTGTTTTGTCAAATTTAAAATTTGTTCTTCATCTGCATATGCATCTACATCTACAACACTTCTCACACCAACACACTCCGTTAGCTCGCCGATCTTCCCTTGACCCACACACTGCAGACTCGCGGCAGAGGCACACAAAAAAAAAAACAAATATAAGCTGCGGGACGGGGTGGGTTAAAAGTCGGCAGAGGCAGAGGGACGGCGGAGGCAGGGGCCGAGTGAAGCAGAAGCAGAGTGTGAATGAGAGAATGTGAAAGAAACAACAAAAGCTGAGGGACAGGGTGGGTTTAGCCACTGAAAATTAATTTTCTTTTATCTTCAAATTTGTAGATTTTGGTTTCAGTGTGAGCATTCAGCAGTCCGGAGCCAAAATTTGGTGGCTCTAGCTCTTAGACGGACAGACGGACGGACGGACAGACAGACAGACATGGCTCAATCGATCAAGCTGATCAAGAATATATATACCTTATGGGGTCGGAAACGTTTCCTTCTGTGCGTTACATACAACCGTTATTCCCCACAAATACAATATACCCTATTTACTCTTCGAGTACCGGGTATGAAAAGGGGGGCTTAATATATTCATAAGGAAACTAGTAATTTACCCGTCTACTAGCGAGTAGGACTGGGAAAATACACAGTCGTTAAATGGAATCTTAGAGATAGATCTCTGAGATAAACCGAATACTAAAAGAAGAATGGGAGAGAGAGGATGCCGAGTTTGCCAGTGTTAAACGCAGAGGATACTGCTCACTTTTTCCCTCTACCTGAACAAAACCATGGTTCCTAGGAACCTAAGGATCAACAGATCAACAGACCGTGTTGCAACATTTTAAATTTTTAACCGTCACTACGCTCTCACTCCTAATATTATCAGCCTGCTATCGATACTTCGTAACTATCGTGTGGTATGGTCGATTGTCGCCCATCTCAATAAAAAATAAGAAAGATCACTGGAAAAAGAATCGGCGGCACGACAACACAAGTTAACAACTGTTTTTCATTATCAAAACAGCATAAAAGTTCTATTTGGTATTGTCGTTATTTTTTGCCACATGGAGTGGCAACAGACTGCTTTGATAGGCACACGCACAGGCCAAAATGCAAGTAGTCGCAAATAAAATTTGTGATACCTGCGATACTATCGATAACGCATCGCATATAATATTTAATTGTCATCGCTAAGGAAATATAATAATATCTATCAGTTATCAATTCTTCGAAAAAGAACAAGTAGCTCGCACCAAACATTTCAATTTAAAAACAGTCAGCAGAACAACAAATACAAATAGTTCTGGCCTAAGAAAGAGTGCTTTAAATTTTGTGTGTTGCAGTAAAGTTCGATTCGCAGCGTGGATAAAGGGCGTAAGGAACTAATAGAAATTAAACGGTTCAGTGCGGCTCCGTAACTGTTTCCTCCACCTGTTTGCTGCCTGTTCTTGCTGCGCTGCCTGCGTGCGTAGAATTTGTGAAAAGAGAAAGTTGGGCGCCGAACGACGACTGCTGCCGCCGCTGGAACAGTCACAACTCACAACCAGCTGCGCGTGCGCAACGACTCACTTCACGGAGGAAATTGGGTCAGTTAAGCAGTGATTTTCTTGCACTCAAACTGAAACTTGTATTTCAATTCAGTGATTATTCCTTCCAGTGCATCTCCGAAAATGGGAACCAAGCAGACTGTGTCGCCGAAGCAGGTGGCTGGTGGCAATGCCAAGGCCAGGGCAAAGCCAAAATCTGACACTCCACCGCCCTCGCCCGCTGAGGAATCGCTGATCAAGAGCAAGGCAAATGGACGCGAGTCGAAGAGCCGCGAATCGCCAGCGGAGGCCAACACCCTGCCACCCCAAAAGTCGTTGGTTGTCGCGTACATTCTGTGGCTGTTTGGAGGCATTTTCGGCCTGCATCATCTGTACCTGCACCGCGATCGCCACGCCTTCATTTGGAGCTGCACGCTGGGCGGCTACATGGGCATTGGCTGGATAGGTGAGCTCTTCCTGATACCCGAGTATGTGCGGGATGCCAACGAAGATCCGCGATTCGTAAAGGCGTTCGTGGCCAAGCTGCAGGCCTTTCAGCGCCCGCCGTACTCCTCCAAGCGCTTCGTGGGGCAGGTGATGATTGGCCACCTGTTTGGACAGCTCTTCGCTATGGCCATACCGCAGACAGTGGTGGCTGGGCTCGACCTGTCCTTCCTGCACTGGGCCATTCCCCTCTTCGTGTCCCTGGGCATCTGGCTGGTGGGAAACATTGGCCGCGAGCAGGGCGTGTGGTGGCACTGCCTACTGGCCGCCTATTTGGCCTATCCAGCGAGGTTCCTCATCTACGACGAGACCTACTCCCTGCTGCTGACGGGCCTGGTGTCCGCTCTCACCTTTGACGGCATCTCGAAGCAGTGGCGCAGAACGCCGCCACGTCGTGGACGACCCGTGGAGCGATCCCTGAAGCTGACGGGAGCCATTCTGATCTACTGCACCTTCTGGGGCAGCTTCGTCTACTTCAACGGCACCATTTCGGACGAGGATGGCGGCGAGGTGCCCATACACGAGGCCCTTCACAACTTCCTTGCCTCCGCCTGGTGGACGGATCTCAAGCAGGCCCTGCACGACACCTACAACTACGCGCAGCATCACGGCTGGTACGAGACCTGGAAGGAGGTATTCGAGAGCATGGACGTGGACGGCGAGCGCAACTCCTACAAAGTGCTGGGCGTCAGTGCCACCGCGTCGCAGGCCGAAATCACGGCCGCCTATCGCAAGCTGTCCAAGGAGTACCATCCAGACAAGGTCAAAGACGAGGCACTGCGCGCCGAGGCCCACCAGCGCTTCATCGAGGTCCAGCAGGCCTACAGCGTGCTCAGCAAGATCAAGTCGAACCGCCGCCGTAAGAACAAGCAGTTCCAGGACGACGATGCAATTGTTCTCTAGGACAGTCCACAATTTAAGTTAGTGCCTCCCCCTCCCTTAAATATACATTTCCATCGAATTGTGTGGCAAGCGAGCAAGCGCTTACGTGGACACCGATAAGGCGACGGTTCTGCCGGCTCAAAGCGTGACACAGTCACAGCTACCCCCGCCCTCCCCCCGCGCTCAAATTGCTAAATCACGACAACAATGAGAGGTTTTATTCTCCACAATTAGTTTTCATATTCATTTATTTATTTTATATATTTTACATAATATAATGAACTACTTAACAATCTAGGCAAAAAAAAAAGAAAAAATATTTCGTGTAATTTAATTAAATTTTTTTTTTTCGTTTCAATTTGTTGTAAACAATGTTCTTGTGTGTGTGTGTGTATATTTTTTTTTTTGCACTAATATATAGTGGGAAACGCGTTTCAATAAACGGAAAAATATATTTATGTATTTATGTACATACATATGTACATATATATGTATGTGTGTATGTACTTTCATATGCGTGTGTAGATTTCTCTGTGTGTAGGGGTATCTCGGGATATTTGCAGAAGGCCCCCAGAGTAGAGTGTCAGAATCGTTCACGAAAAAGGGGGGAGGGGGGGGGGGGTTAAAAACAGGAAACAATAACTCACTTAGATTTAGTTTAAAACATAATACTGAGCAAAAATCGTGTATACATCATTCTGCTTGCTGGATTTGTTGCTTTCTTCTTTATAGATATAATAATTATTTACGGTTTACGGTTTACGGTTTTGCACTTTGCACTTTTTATCGCATTACCGAGTTCCATTTCGTTTCAATGGATCCCAGTTGGGGTTTACAAAAATTTCACTATGGTGCATCGCATAGCATTTGTTGTGACTGTACTTATGTGTGTGTTTGTGGGAGTTTTTTGCGGAATATCACGTTTTCCTTTATGTTCTCTCAGTGGCAAAACCAACAAAAAAAAAACAAAAAAAAAAACAAATCATATCTCTCAATTTACAAAGGAAAAAGTGTTTTTTTTTTTTTTTAGGGGTAGAGACTATAGTTAAAATACGATTTAAAATAAAATAACAATTTTTTATAGGCATTTAGGGGCCCGCACGCACTCACGTGTGTAGTGTGTGGTGTGTGTATGTGTGTGTGTGTCTGTGTGTGTGTGTGTACTAACACACATGCAAATGTATGCCGCATTTTCTGCTTTCTTTCTCTCTTCTCGACAACTCCTGCCTATCGTTCTCCCCTCGCGCTCTCTCGAGATTCTCTCTCGAGACTCTCTCTTTTTTTATGTACAAATTAAAGTTATCCAAGCACACACACACATGCGGGAGGGGGAGTTGGGGGTAGTGCATGCATATCGAGGTGCATGTGTGTGCCTCTCGGGATGGTCTTTGAGCTAAATGGTTTTCTCTCAGGAGGAGGGGCTGGTGTCGCGAGTGGTCGGGATGATGGGCGAGGGGGTAAGGGGGTTCAATGCACTAAGTACGCCGTTGGCTATACAACGATTTCTTTTGTCTCGATCATCAATCGTCAATCATCAATCATCGATTATCGATTCGATTGATCAAACAGTTAACAGTTATCGGCACCGATGACTCCATTTACAGGCGCGTGACTACAATATCTTCTTCGAGATCATCCAACTCGTCGTCGGTCTCCTCGACGCCGTCGACGCCGGCCTCGGCAGCGGCAAGGGCGGCGGCAGCCGCGGCAGCGGCCTCCTTCTCCTTCTCGGCAGCCTCCAGCTTCTCCTGCTTCTTGACCTTGCGTTGCTGCAAGGGTGAAGAGAGAAAGGAAATTAGCAAATGATTGCCTACTTTCGGGCGGGCGGCACTCACCTTCTTCCTGTAGAGAATCTCGACAATGACGTAGCCGATGCAGCCCAGCGTGAGCACTGCCAGCAGAATGTACAGCTTCATGCGGGTGCACAGCGTTGTGGCATAGGCATAGGCAATCACAAAGCCAGCGGACTCCCACAGGCGGTAGTTGGAGAAGGCCGCCTCCTTGTTGCGGCGGAAGAGCAGCCCGTAGAGGCCGTTGATCTGGGTCTGCCAGACGGCATCACCGACGCCCCAAAGGCCTGACATGGCGTAAAAGATAATGGGATTGTCGGGATTGGGTCGCCAGAAGAGCTCCACAGTAATGAGAGTGAAGTGCACCACGGCTCCCAGGACAATGATGGGCGTGCGGCCAATGTACTTCATCACAGAGCCGAACAGAATGGAGCACAGGGCGTTGACAACGCCGAAGCAGATCATCACGAAACCGATCTTGTTGACGCCCAAGGCGCAGGCAACGTAGGCCTGGGTGAAGTCGGCCCCAATGAAGGCCTGCTCCATGCCAATGAAGACGGTGATGGGGATGAGCAGCTGCAGATTGGGCTTCTTCATCTGACGGAACGTTGCCGAGAGCAGTTGGAGGCCCGAGATCTCGGCGGCGGAGTTGGAGCCCTTACGCTTCTCTCCGTAGCGCTTGAGGGGATCGAGGAAGAAGGCAATGATGCAGACGGCGGCCACAATGCACGACAGATAGATCATCGAGATCTCGAAGATCTCATCCTCTGGCGGACGCTCCAGGTTGCCGTGTCCATTGGCGCCGGTGGTGCAGAAGTTGGCGCCGCAATACTGCAGATCCTCCTCGCTGATTGTTGAGTTGCTGCTGCTGCTGGATCCATGGGCACCGCTGGAAAGAACTGTGCGAGGGAAGAGTGCGTTAGAGAGGCTTCCCGTGTGGGTCTCTGTGTTGGATGCTTACCCAAGCTGGAGATCAGATTGCCCCAAAGCTCAGCGGACTGCCAGGCCAGGAAGAAGAAGCCAAAGAATCGCACAATAATGGCATCGACTGCCTGCTCTGTGATCTTGGCATACACTTGTCCCACCTGCGTCAGATAGGTCGCCTTGGACGCCCACATGGGCGCCGCACCCATGCCCACCAGTATGCCGGCGGGCACGAGGGTGTAGAAGCGCGGGAAGAGCTGGAAGGCAATGTAGGGCGCATAGCAGAGCATGCTGAAGACGAGTGTCCACTTGACGGTCAGCTTGCGGATGATCAGGGTGGGCAGGAAGATGCACGACACCACCAAGGCCGCATAGATCGCACTCAGCGAGACAGTGCCCAGGCCATCCTTAGAGTTGATCGATGACTGCAGATTGGCTGTGCCCTAAAAGAAAGCAGACAGTCGGTCAGTGTCGGGAATGGATGGATGGCTTGTTGGTGCTGGTTGATAGAACTCACTTGAAATGCTGTAAACTGCACCATGAAGGCGATCGAGATGATCGAGATATTCTTTAAGATGCGCCATTTCTCGGCCGGATTCAGCACAACTTTCTCTCGCAGCGAGGCGGTGTCGGGCTCGAAACCAGCTTTCGGCTAAAAATAAACAAACAAAAATCAGCAATCTGTGGATTGGATTTGTCGTCGGTTTGAGTTTGAGTTTCTGTTTCTGTTTCTGTTTCGGCAAGGAGTCAGGAGTAAGCTAAGGAGTCTGTGGAGAGTGTGCGGGCATGTTCCTACTTTCTTTCTTATCAGCTCGTTTTCCACCTTACCATAACTTTCTTATTACGAGCATCGGGCAGTCGATACTTAACTTAACAGAATTACTTTTTAGCCATGCCACAAATTTCTTTTTATTCATATCTGATGTTAGAAAATGTACATAAATATGTACAGACATACATCAACATTTACATGCATTTTTGAATTCCTTTCTTTTGATGGAAATTTCTTGGTTAAGCAAATTTTCTGCTGGCAGCCTCTTGCATAAATATTTCATACGACAAATTGTATAATTTATGTCGCATTTTTATTATATATTTAAGTATTTCTATTATGCTTTTGTTTATTGTATTTTTCTAGTTTGCATCTCGAAGAGTATCCAAAATAAATTCCCAAAACTCTCTTCGGGCGCTTTCATTTTCGCGTCTCGACTCTGCAGACTGACTGCACACAAAATACATAAATAAATTCATACATATGTATGTATGTATGTACAGACATACACATTAATTAATTATTTATGTGTTGGCGCATTTTACGCTTTTAGTTTCTACAAAAAATCAAAAGATAAAACCAATTTGAAAAGCCCGCACGCGTTTTGCTCGCGTTTCGCGGGCACTTTTGCATGGCGCATGGCGCATGGCGCATGGCGCATGCGTGATGCGGCCTTTAAATGGCCATAAAAATGCTCCCCAGGCCCCACCAAACCAAACAAAAAACCCACCAAGCATACACACACATATTTGATGCGAGAACTGGCCGTAAGAAAAAAAAAATGTGGCGATTTTGCATGCGCTGCACAGTGCCCAGAAGGTTACATCGATCGGCCAAGACATAAGTGATTGAGGGGCAATGGGAGCATTGGGCTGGGGATGATCATAAAACCCGAGTGGGTGGTTGGGTGCGCGCTTGTTGTTGTGCAAGACGTAATCGATTGCAGGCTCTGTTTCACTCAATGAAGTTTTACTTTTGCTTTTGTTTTAGCTATAGTAGTAGCACATAATATTCGTGGTAGTTGGTGTCTGTTCACACGATGAGGTGCTACGGCATGTGCTGTCTGGGTTGTCTGGGTTGTCTGGTCTGTGGAGCTCGTTTTGTTTGTATGCAAATTTCAGGCCGTCTTTCGTCGGATTCGAGTAATAAGTTCGCATTTAAATGATTAAAAACAAAACGAAAAACGCAGAAAAAGTGACACAGCCAGAGGAGGGATGGCGAGGGAGGGGAAATTTGCGAGAGCAAGGAGGAAACCAAATAAAACGGATCCATTAAAATTAATAATATTAAATACATACGTAATACGCGTCGCAACAGCAAAAACGTCAGCAAATATAAACAATAATTAGGAGCACTCAGACATTTACATATATGCGTGAAAATACATTTTACTCTTGTAGTTTGCTCTGGTTTTTGTCGCACTTACTCATAAAATAAGAATCGAAAGTGCTGAGAATTGTGATTGAAAAAATACCAGACTATGCATAGTTTTAATTGCATAATTGCAAAAATTGGGATTTACTTCTGCTCAGATTAGATATTAATAATTTCTTTTACGTTTATTACCCCGTTAACTGTGAATGTGAATGTGCGAGCGAGAGAGAGAGAGGCATAGATGCACACGTGCATGCTGTGCTTTGCTGGCAGAGCAACGGTAGAATCATACTTTTGAAAGCTCAAGTAAGTTCGGTGCTCTAAATCAAGTGCTGCTTGTTTGGTGGACAAATGTATTGCTGTGTCTGCTTTGTTTTGGAAACCGTTATGCGGCAATGGTCCCTAGCATATCATGACAGTGGACCCAAAGACCCACTGGGCAGACCGCTTTGTCTCTGTCTGCCTGTGTGTCGGGCGCAGCTTTAATCGACAAACAGCTGGTGCTGGCCGCAGCACAAGTGCATGCTGCGAAATAATAAGATGTATGATGGGTGATGGGTGAAGGGGGGAAAGGGTTCATAATGATATGCGAGAGTGGCGGCTGCGCCGTGGCGTCGGCAGTGGCGTCAACGGCTTGCGTCGCCTCTAGTTGGGACAAGCGCAAACAAAAACTGCTGAAAACCAGTTACAACTGGCTGCCAAGTGAGCGGCGGTGGTTTTTACTGTGGGTGGCTGTGTGTCTCTCTTTGTGTGTCTCTCTCTGTGTATGTGTGTGTGTGTGAGTGCGCCTAGAGGCGGTCTATGCTCGGTGCTCGGCAGCATGTTGCCAGCGACCTACTGTGTGTGCGCGGCGACGGCAGCATGTTGCGCACGCGCGCTTGGAGCACGAGATTTTGGTTTTATTTTTAAACGCTGCACGTTTCGTGTTTGTCTCTGGCCACTTTCCCTGCCCCTGCCGCTGCACCTACTTCAGCCTACCCCTGCCACTCCCAGCCAGTCTTTACATGTCTCTTGTTGTTGTTGTGGGTTTTGTTTTTGTTTCTTTACATAAATTCGCTCTCTGCTGGACGTTCTCCGACACCGACAACGGCAAACCGCAGCAGTGGTTCTGTGTCTTGACCACAACGAGCAAAACGGGTTTCTTGTTTTTTTTTTTAGAACCGATGATTACTGGACTGTGCGAGTGCCAGTGGGGGTGGGGGTGGGACTGGGTTGGGTCGCAGGGAGGTGCGTGGCCTGGTCTCGCAGATTATTGTAAATTGGCAATATTTTATTATGAAACCTTGTCAGTGGCTTAATTGTGCAATCGGTTTTTGTTGCAAGTCGTTTTTGATTCGAGCCGTTGATTGCCAAATATCTTAGGAATTAGTTGGCAGCACTCGCACGGATGAGTTGGCAGCACTGTACAGACACGAACACCACAAAAACATGGCCATATACACATACACATACACGTGCAAGTGCATGTGTGTGTATGTGAGAGCTTGTTAAGCTCTTTCTGCTATCACATTTCTTTTTTTTCGTTTTTTTTTTCTGCTTCTCGCGGTGGTTTGGTTTTTGTTTTTGGGTTTTCGGGTTTTTGGTTTTCGGTTTCTTGAGGTGAAATTTATTTCGCCTCATTTAAATCCAAGGAGTGGCCAACTGTCCAACTGTCCAGCTGTCCAACATGCCAATGATCATTAGCATCTCGAGCATCATTTCCATCTTCATCTCCATCTGAGGCTTATTGGATACGTTACTCGTACTTCCTCCTCATCTGGGCCATAATGAATAATGTGACGCGTTTCATTATAAAACATGATTTCTTTGGCGAAGGCAAACAGAGTCATTAACACGGCCCAATCCAAAACAAACACACAAGAAAAACACACAACGATAAGTGTAATCCGGCTCATAAGCAGCGCCTCTACAATACATCGAGAAATATATATGTACATGTCTGTGGCATAAACCATAAGCCTTATGCTACACGATTAAACCTACTAAATACAACATCAGAGCGATGGCATTGTCCATGCATGAATAAATGACAAAAGAAAAAGAAAAAACAACAAAAAAACCCATGTAAGAATGTGACAAACATTTTCAAATGGCAGCGCTTTATGGCTATTTCAATGGCTCTTAATTGTCGGCCCATGGAAATTGCCAAGCCCAAATGTTCTGTGCAAACTGAGGAACCACCGAGCCCTAGACTCTTCTGGGGTTATTCAAAGTGAATTGATAGTGTGCAAAATGGGTCTAACAAAAATTCTAAAGATAGCTTCAGCCTGTATTTCCCATAATTGATTTTGTGGTTAAGGAATATTTCGCAAATCAACAAAATAAAAGCCATATGTTCGAGTCATAAATAGCTTTAAACTGCTTTAACTTAAACTGTGTCATTTATTTTGTGCTTTCTCTTGTAAAGTCTTTGATTCATTCGATGATTTCATGAGGGCTGGCCATCGAAACAGAACTCAGAAGTACGTTTTTGGGTGTCTGGAAGAGTAAGTACCCCAACTGTTCGGGGTGTGAAAAAACTCACCTTGACGGGCTCATCGTTCTCGAAGCCACCGTTCGTGAAACCAGTCATCTTGCTGGATTTCTCTTGCTGTGCTCTCCGTTCTCAGTTCCCTTACTTCGAGTGTGCTGGTTAATCAATTAACCAAAGGAACGAGTGTGGCTGTAAGACAAAAGAATACAAAAACCATTAGCCACTTAGACGATTATAAACCCATTTGCAGATCGTGAATTAAACGTTATATACATCAGACATATGTGTGCAGATGTTAGCTTCACAGAGCTAATAACAATACCAATAATAATAATAGTAATACGAGCGAGCAACCACTGAAAGGTTTTCGTTAGCGAAATTGCCCAGTCCCAGGCCCAGAGCCCGGCGCAGCCCATAATTGTTGGCCATAATTGTCGTAGACAAATGGAGCTGGATGGGGACTGACCGAACTGACTGACTGACACACTCGTACGAGTAGTATTTGGCAACAAAAATGAATATCTATCTATCTGTCTATGTACATATCTGTTGTTTGCCTCGTCCGACCGAGACTGAGACTCAGAATTCAGAACTCAGAACTCAGAACTCATTCTTTCCCGAGCATGTCTGTGGGGGCGGCGGGAAGTCTTTTTTCTGGCTTTGTGTGTGTTCGTTTGCCTGGGATTATGTTTCCAGCGGTTCCCATTGTCTAATTGCCAAACACTTAATAGCTTGGGGGATGCCCACAGCCCCTGCCACAGCCCCCTTCCCATCGTAGTTCAAGTTCATGTCCAATTAATTGAAAATGAGGCAGACGGACGGACACCCGACCATTATCCGGGCCCATCAACTGAAGCGACTGTGGCAGACACACACAAAACACAAGGGAAGCCGAAACCCAAACCGAAACCTCGTGACCCCAGCAGCAAAACAATCAAATAAAACAACAACAAATTGGTTAAACTTTGTTGTATGGTGGAGATTCTCAAAACGCTTATACATATTAATAATAGCGACTAAAAAAGATAGAAAAAGAATTCAACATGCATAAATATGCTACAACATGTATGACTTATGGATGGACATATTATAATGTCCGATGTCTGGTCACCATTAGCGGAGTTTCTTTTTACAAAACACAACCAAAATTAATATTATTCATTTATGCATATCATCAGATCAGGAAGACTGAGGAAACGCTTTGGAAGATGCGCAAAATGGGCCACACATGGGCAGAAACTAGTGACTGCGACTGTGGCTAGGAAGCTAGAGATTATTTTACAACACTAAAATCAGTGCTGTAAATCGTTGTGAGCTAGCTGCCAACTGTCAGCATCAGAGAGCTTTCCAAGTAAATTATTTATCGTTTGAATTGTTTCGATTCTAAAGTAAGGCGCTTTTAAATTAACTTTCCTCAAATAAAAAAAAAAAACGATGGTAAGGTTAAGAATAATGGGAACTACTTCGTTGTACAAGGTTGTACAAGGCGTTCTTCAACGTGCAAAGGATTCAGATAGTTCAGATAAATCAGTAGATTCAGATAATTCAGATGATACAGACGTCAACCAACCGCTGGAGTCTTGTGAGCAGCCGTCGGTGATTCCAAAGCCCTCGAACTATGGTCAGTACACCAACAAGATGCATTTCTTTTACAAATATATTCTGGTGGACTTGTACGAGAATGAATACGCTGTGCATTTTCGCGAGCCTGTGGACACGGAAGTGATTCAGGCACCGAACTACTACGCCATCGTGGCACAGCCCATGGACATGGGCACCATAAAGCAGCGATTGAAGAATCACTTCTACCACCATGTGGGCGAGGCTGTGTCCGACTTTATGCTGATGCTTCACAACTGCTTTCAGTACAATATACGCGGCACCATGGTCTATGAGCGTGGCTGCTTCCTGGAGAAGTTTTTCATGGAGCGCTTGTATACCATTCCCAAGGGGCCCGAGAATCCGTACGCTGATATACCCATGAAGTTCAGAAGATTGCACTTGCTCGCACCTCGCCCTTACACGACCACTCCACTGCGCCCTCCCACTGCCACTTGTCGGCCCACACGACGGGCCTCAACCCATTCCTTACGCCCTCGGATTGCGACCACACAGCCAGTAAGAAACATATTCCTAACAATCAAACTTCCAATGACATTGTGCCCTTAGGAACAGCCTCAGCCTCAGCTCCAGTTTCAGCCTCAGCTCCAGCTCCAGCCTCAGCTCCAGCTCCAGCCTCAGCTCCAGCTTCAACCCGTACCGGGTCGTGTACTGACTCGAGTTCGGCCCATGGTGGACCCAAAGCCCAGCAATTTGGGCAAGTACTCAAAAAAGTTGAATTGCTTCGAGACAGCTATACTGGAGGTAGCGGCCAAGAGTGACTTCGGGCAGGACTTCCTGAAACCGGTGGACGCGGTCAAGCTGGGGGTGCCACAATATTACATGATTGTCGTGAAGCCCATGGACATACAGACCATAAAGAAACGACTTCGCAAAAATGTCTACCAACATATCGGTGAGGCGGTGTCCGACGTAATGCTGATCCTTCACAATTGCTTCAAATTCAATAAGCCTGACCATCCGGTCTACAAAAATGGCCAGCTATTGGAGGAGTTTTTCTGGAAAGAGCTCAAGCACATACCCACCGGGCAAGACATCGATCTCTTTCGCAAACGTAGCGCAGCAAATGAATGTACACCCAATTCTGTCACCCAATGAGTCTGTTCTATGAGTAGATCAGTTATAAGTAAAATATTTGTCACACTCTCGTAACCCTCAGCGGTGGAGTTACTTAACCTGTTGCTTCCTAACTCGAACAGCAATTGGAACGTGTGTGAGTTCGAGTATCTGTTGCGCTTCCTCCTTAGCTGTGGCTTGTACTCACGGCTTGGGTACTCGGCTCGGTTCTCAGGGACCGCTACACGCGACTAAATGATCGGCCATAGAATATTGTGTCGGACTGCGGCGTAGTTTAGGCCGATCGCTGTCGCTTTGTGGGGGTTTAATAACCAATTCATAATCCATAATAGCCAAACCGAAAGCATAAATCATTGAAGCAAAACCTGGCCATACACGTTATTAATATACCCGTAACTCATAAGGAACTTGCTACTATAGCCGGAGTTGAGGTCTGAGACGAAGTCTGACGTCAGCCACTGGAACTTTCCCAGACAATGGCCAATCTCCAGCCAAGCTAGAACCTACATACAATATTGGAGCAGCACGTGCGAGCATTTCATATGTATTTAATTTCTTTGAATATATTTTTTAAGTTTCGCTGATTGCAGATACGGCAGATACGAATACGAGGCGGGCATCAAACCGAAAGTGCCGACAAAATGTTATATAAAAAAAAAAGAGAATACTCTACGAGAATGTGTGTATGGCTATGAAAATCTATATGGTGTGGATACTAGATATTGCCAATTGTCTGTCAGTGGAATTTGGAATTGTTCCCTCCCCGAAATTGGTCAGCAATTGGTAGTTTTCCTTCTACATTTGAGCCCAAAGATTTTTATGGCTGCTGCGTGTGAGGGGACGTATTTTTTTTTTTTTTTTTTTTTTTTTTTTTTTGTATAAAGGCAAAGCAACACTCAACACTCGCCACACACGCGCCAAACGTCATTAAGAATAAAATAAAGTAAAACAAAAAAACAATTTCAGCTTCAATTATTATTCCAGCGAAATATTCCCTCGTCATACATACTCGTACATACATAAATACATATGTACATAAAGCTGTACATAAAATTCATAGCAGCAACATCATTGCTACATTTGCCTTTCTTTTTGTTAAAGTTCGTTTCGACATGAACGTTGCCCATGTAAGTATGTACAAGCGGATTGAATCGGTATTATCTTCTCTGTGTATAGATCGGGCCTTAAGTGGCCTACAAATGGGCTGACTGGCTGACTGGCTGCCTGGGCTGGCTTGTGCCAAAAGTTTTGTTTTCTGTTTAGCTCTTGTTATTATTATTTTTTGTGGTTTTTGTGTTTTGTTTTGTTGTTTCGCTTGCTTGCTTTTTGGGCCCTTCACCCAAGCTGCCTCCTTGGCTTTGCATTCAGCCAAAAGTGTACAAAAAAAAAAACCAGAAAAAATAAAAACTATCTTAAATAATCTTTTGGCGAATACTCTTGCGTTGAAGCTTAAGCATTCTATGGAATCCTCTTTACTTCCTGATTTGCCAGAAGAAAATATTTCATACAAACAACAAAATATTACACTTGACTTTTACGCGTGGAGGAGCAGCCAAAAAATGTTGCAAGATTTTTCTGATTTTTGTCTGCTCTTTTCATGTTGTATTTGACTATTGCATATTTTTGTATTGTTTCTTTTTGTGTGTGTGTGTGTGTATTTTGTCGGTCAATTTGGCCTGCATTGTAGTTTCTTTGCATTCGAATTCGAGTGGATTTCGTAGTAGTTTTCTTTTTGGATTTTGATACTTGGTTTTGTTTGGTCTGGTACTTGGCTTTACTTTCGCTTTTTACGCTTTCAAATGAAGCTCCCCCCATTTGGCGGGAGTTTTTTGTGCAGTTTAGTTTGTTTTTTGGTTTGCTTCTTCCATGATGGAGAAGGATCTGGTTCGTTCGTTCGTTGCACTCAATCACTCACACAGTATGATGGCAAAAAAAGGATTCCCTCTGGGATGGACACGGAATTGATTGAAATGAAACACTAAACTGGGAACCTCAGGGCGGAGCGGCGAATAAAAAAACACTTTCTGGACAGGGGGCCAAGTGGCTGTCTCAGAGCCTAGTAGTACAATGCCAAGAAAATGCGACAACGTGCGAATTTTAAACGAAAAGCACTTTCTAGCTAATTGGAGTGATTAGTGGCAGGCGTCGCTGCCAGCGGCGGCAGAGAGCAGCTGCGTTGGCAGCGGCGTCACGCCAGTCGCTGCTTGCTGCTTGCTGGTTGCTGGTTGCTGTCTTTGTCGTGGTAATCGTAGTTGGCGGTCCAAGAGCTCCCCAAAGATATATACGGGCAAGGTTATCGCCTGGACGGGGCTAACTGTAAATAATCGGACAGAGATAGAGAGGGAGTTGCTGCTGTTTTTTTTCTGTTTCGGCTTGCTTTGGCCAATTCTCAGATAGATAGATAGATAGAGCCCACCAGAGAGTGCCACCAGAAGAGCCACCTGATGGGGCTGTGGGTGTTGCTGCGTTGGCAGCTCCCCAGCCGCTCGCTCTTGATTGTCGATTGTCGATGAGCGATGATCGATGAGCGATCGCCGATTGCCGATTGCCCATTGTCGATTGCTGATTGCCGATTGCTAATGGGGCGTGTGTCTGCTGTCCACTCGATTGGCGACTTCCACAGGAGCGGTTCAAGGCGTTGCATTTGCCGCAAGAACTTCGAACTTCATTTCGGACTTAATTTAAGATTTCTGATTGCTTGCTTGCACTGACAGGATGTCTGCCATCCCATATGGAGCACATTTGCTGCCGGATGGCATCTCGTTAGACCGCTCCTGGCTGGAGCTGGGCAATCGCTGGGCGGCGGGCGGGCTCTTCAGCGGTCAAGCGGCTGGCCGGACTGAACTGGCCGAGCGTGAAGAGTTGTGCGTTTCGTGTCTCGGCGATTAGATTAGAGAGGGCCAACAACATATACAATTGCTATTGCTATTTATTGTCTGTATATGGGCCCGACTATTGCCAGACCATAAATTCTAATTAATAACCGCGCACGGGCCGCACGGCAGTCCGTGGCAATCGAAAGCGAAGGCGAAGGGCAGCTGGCGGTGGCGGTGGAGGCGGCGAAGGAGTGCTCCATGTGGCTGATCCTATCGATGATCGGGAGCACGATCGCGGTGTGGCGGGCGGTGAGTCTTATGGCCATCTTATCGCAGTTATTAGCGCGTGATTATGTGAACTGTGATTTTGGCGGAGCTACCGATCATAAATATTGTACAATGATTGGGCAGAGTTACGCGGAATCAGGGATTTTTCCCTTCCCATTCTCTTTGTTTCTTTTATGGTTTCGTTTTCGTTTTCAGTTTGCTTTTTTTTCTCAGGAAATGCCTGCCAGAATGCTCAAATGTCGTTCTAGATAGCTCCTAGATGGGCATGGGACATACAAAAATAAATATTCCAATAAGTAAGTGTCTATGACTACGCCACGAGTGGCCAATTGCTGTTGCTGCGATTTGTGGATAAGATGTATCAAGGAATTTGGCTATTGCCCGACCCACTCGAGACTCGAGTGACAGCCGCTAATGAAGAATGAAAGCTTGAATAGGAATTGCCAGTAGAATTTCCAGCCCTAAATGAAAGCCAAAACCATTGACAGTCGCTGCGAGAGTGGTTACAGCTCCAGTTACAGTCGCAGTCGCAGTCGCAGTCACAGCTATAGCAGTTGTGTCAATAATACGCTTTTTGCCGCGAGTTGAAGGGTAGTGCACTTGACTCGTCTATGGGTTTATTCACACATCATCGGCAACAATAAAGCCGAACGACGATCAGGCATGCGTCTCTGCGTCTGGCTTGGCAGAAGATCAAGGGTTTCGCTTCAACCTGCCTGCCTCGAGTTGGCTCTCGGCTGTCGGCTTAAAAGCTTTGCAGCCTCACAGCGGCACACTCTTTGCTTGTTGGCTGACCCACTTTCAAAGAAGAAAAAAACACAAACACAAACACAAACACAAAGCCAAATCGAACCAATATAAACAACAGATAGAAACTATACATTTTGATTGGCATTGGCATGGCCCTAAGAGATGCCAGGCACAAGCTTGCCGCAGTGTTGGGCAATTGTTTCGATTGGGGATCTTAGGGATATTCCCATCCATTGAGCGCATTTTATGATGCACCAACGAGCAGTAATCGAGCCAATACATTGTTGGGTACCTTAATGGATCGTTTAAAGTCAATTAATCTTCTATTCAATGTGCACTTAAGAGTCCATCGGGGAGACGCACATACTCGTCTGTACATAAGTCAATGGCTGATTGATAGTGGACAGCTTATCATGCCCAGCCGACAAATGCCATTCGATTCGTAGTTGAAGGCTAAGCCCTAAGCACAACTGATAAACGACACAAAACGGGAAAAACTGAAACTCTACCAAATGAGTCATGGAACAATATCCCACAAAGCCCTATCAAGCCCTCTCCGATCCTCGGGCTGGACTGTTTCCAACTCAGATTGCTTGGATTGAATAGCACCTGATGAGCTGAGCTGTTGGCTATTCTTGGATCGACACAGAGAGAGAGAGGGAGAGAGCGGCCCCCTCCATTATCATATTCAATATCATATCAGGCCAACGATTGATTAATTAAAAATTCTAGCGTCCACAGGCACACACACCAGCACACAAATATGAATACACGAATATACAGGCACAGACACACGAATTCCAATAATCAGGTTTTCCAAAATCGATGCCACCCTCAGCCTCACGTATTACCATCACGATTACCCAGCACTCGCACTCGCACTCGCACTCGCACTCTTATACACCCAAGCACTCGCTCGTATACGTATACGTATAGGTATACTCGTATACATATGACAATTCTTTTTTTGCTGGTCACGTGAATGCCAACGTCTCTTGTCTGCGGATCTGCGGAGTGGAATGGGCAAAGGCTGACTTGGCATCGACTCTACGGAGTCAACTGGTTTTTTGTGTCTTGTCTCCACACACACACACACACATAAATATCTGCATATGTGCTACACATGTGTGTGTGTGTGTGTGAATTTATTTCGTTGTTTGCCTATTTATAGCCAATATTTTTAGCTGCTGATTTCATTTCATTATAGAGTAGTATCAGATA